AGTAGATGAGTGGAAACCATTTGCACCAACCAGGAACCTTATGTACACACAAACAGATTTAATAGCCTGTGTATCAGTGTGTGCCCAGACTCCACCACTACTTGGGTTCAAATCTTGTCTCTGTCACTTACATTGGTGTGCCCTTGAACAAGTTACTTCATCTCTATGTTCCAAAGTTTCCTCACTGGGAAGTCAGGGAAGTCAGATCTTGTGTGGAATCACTTAAGTCTCATTGTGGATTCCAATTCAAGGTGACCCAAATGTGCCAGAGCAAAAACGTACTTCATAGGACTTTCAGTGGCTGATTTTGTGGACATGGATCACCAGGTCTTTCTTGAAAGGTGCCTCTGGGTGGACTTGAATCTCCAACCTGGTTGATTAGCAGCCAGGTGTGTTGACTGTACTCCCCTTGTCATGGACAAATGAGCTATCCATACAAAATGTTTAGAACTTGGTGTGGTATAGTAGATGTTAGCCTATAACGCAATGCCAGGAGTCTGCATATACATGGATGGGCGTAGCATATGTACTTCATGAAGTAAAAATTTAGCAAGACCCTTTCTAACAATGAGTGCTATGCCATTCCTCTTGATTGTACTTTTCCCAGCACAGTAAATCATATGATTTTTCTGATTCAAAGTGGCCAATACCAGTGCATTTCAGCTCAGTAGTGCCTAGGCTATCGATCTTCATGCATGCCATTTCATTTTGACCACTTTCAAATCCATCATTAAGTATAAGGCTATCTATGATTGGATTATATCTAACCACCTTCAAGGAAATCCAATCAATACAATTATTCAATTTTATGCACCAACTACAAAGCTAATGATGAAGAAATCGAAGACTTCTACCAACGACTTCAGTCAGAAATTGATCAGACATGTGATCAAGATGCACTAATAGTTATTGGTGATTGAAATGCAAAAGTTGGAAACAGGAAGGCACAATAGTTGAAAAATAAGGGCTTGGTGATAGAAATGAAGCTAGAGATCGCATGATAGAATTTTGCCAAACCAACAATTGGTACCTAACAAATACTTTTTCAACAACTCAGAAGACGACTATACGCATGGATTCCCCAGATGGAATACACAAACATCAGATTGATTATATCTGTGGGAAGACACGATGAAGAAGCTCAGTATCAGCAGCTGAGACCAGACCAGGACCCGGCTATGGAACACAGACCATCAGCTGCTCATATGTAAGTTCAGGGAAAAGCTGAAGAAATCTAGAACAAGTCCATAGAAGCGAAAACATGACCTTGAGTCTATCTCACCTGAATTATGCGAACCTCTCAAAAAGAGGCTTGACGTCCTGAACACCGATGGCAGAAGATCCAGTGAGCTGCAGGAGGACACCAAGACCATCGTTCATGAAAAGGAAGGGGTCATTAAAAAGACAGGAAACAAAGAAAACAATAAAGTAGATGTTAAAACAGACTCTGCAAGTTGCTCTTCATTAGCGAGTCACTAAAGCAAATGGAGGAAATGATGGAGTCATAAAGGGCTGGCCAGAAAACTTCAAAGGCAGTTTGAGAAGACAAAGTAAAATGATATAATAAAATGTGCAAGGCCCTAGATTTAGAAAACCAAAAGGGAAGAATTGGCTCAGCATGTCAGAAACTGAAAGAATTCAAGAGAAAATTCAAGCCTCGAATTGCAATCTTGAAAGATTCTGGTAGCAGAATATTGAATGATGCAGGAAGCATCAAGAGAACACGGAAAGAACACACAGAGTCACTGTACCAAAGGAACTAGTCGACATTCCACCGTTTCAGGAGGTAGCATAGAGCAAGAACCAATCCGTGGTGCTGAAGAAGGATGTTCAAACTGCACTGAATGCATTAGCTACAAACAAGACTCTAGGAATTAACGGAATCCCCACTGAAATGTTTCAGAAAGCTGAAGAAGCCCTGGAAGCACTCACTTCTCTATGCCAGAACATTTGTAAGACAGCTACCTGGCCAACTTCCTGGAAGAGATTCATATTTGTGCCCATTCCAAAGAAAGGTGACCCAACAGAATGCTCAAACTATAGAACAATATCACTGATATCACATAGAAGTCACATTTTGCTTAAGACCATGCAATAACATTTGCAGCAGTACATGGACAAGGAACTGCAAGTTCCAGATGGAATGAGAAAAGGAGGATATGGAACAAGGGATATCATGCTGATGTCCAATGGATCTTGGCTGAAAGCAGGGAATACCAGAAAGAGGTTTACTTGTGTTTCATTGACTATGCAAAGGCATCCAACTGAATGGACCATAATAAATTGTGAATAACCTTGACAAGACTAGAAATTCCAGAACACTTTGTTGTGCTCTTTTGGAACTTGTACATGGATCAAGAGGCAGTTGTGCGGACAGAAGAAGGGGATATTGCATGGTTTAAAATCAGGAAAGGTGAGCATCAGGGTTATATCCTCTCACCATACTTGTTCAATCTATATGCTGAGCAAATCATGGGAGAAGCAGGATTCTATGAAGAAGAGTGTGGCACCAGGATTGGAGGAAGGCTTACTAACAACCTGTGGTATGCAGATGACACACCTCGCTTGCTAAAAGTAAGGACTCACGTGAAGCACTTGCTGATGAAGATCAAGGAGTGTAGCCTTCAGTGTGGATTACAACTCAATGGAAGAAAGACCCAAATCCTCACAACTGGAACGACAGGTAACCACGATAAATGGAGAACAGTTTGAAATTGTCAAGGATTTTGTCTTGCTTGGATTCACAATCAATACTCATAGAAGCAGCAGTCAAGAAATAAAAAAATGTGCTGCATTGAGTATATCTGCTGCCCAAGACTTTAGAGTGTTGAAGAGCAAGGATGTTACTTGGAGAACTAAGGTGTGCCTGACACAAGCCGTGGTATTCTCCATTGCATCATATGCATGTGAAAGTTGGATATTAAATACGGAAAACTAGAGAAGAATGGCTGCATCTGAATTGTGGGGCTGGACATGACTATTGAAAGTCCCAGGGACTGCTAAAAGGACAAGCCAATCTATATTCAAAGAAAGAAGGCCAGAGTGCACCTTAGAGGCAAGGATGGCAAGCCTTTGTCGTACTGACTTTGGACAGATTGTCAGGAGAGACCAGTCTCTGGAGAAGGACATCCTGTTTGGTGAAGGGGAGGGGCAACACAAAAGAAGACCCTCAATACAGTGGGCGGACACAGTGGCTGCATCCATGGGCTCAAGCACAGGAACAGTTGTGAAGATGGCCCAGGACTGTGCAGGGTTTTATTTTGTCGTGCGTAGGGTTACGCAGACCGGGTCAGAGCCCACTGAGTGGCACTTTACAACAATAAACACATATGTCTACATGTATGTTTCTATTGATATGGAAAGGCCCGTGTGAAGTGAGTGGTAAACACAGAGGATAAGTAATAAAAGTACTGACACACGTCATAGAAATCTTTATTAAACAAAAACATAAGAACGTGAAGCTATTGTTTCTCAGCATATCCTCCAGGGATAGGCTCCAAGGTCTACACACTTCAGAAGGAGGTGTTTCTAACCATTTCCTAAAGAATTCTGCCTCCTTCAATCACGCCACATCAAAACATCCGTTTTGGCATCTTTGAGGGACCCACAGTGTGTTCCTTTTCAATGTTCTTTGAATTGGGGGTACAAAAAAAGAGTCTGAAGGGGCAAGATGAGGGCTGGAAGAAGGATGGGGTAAAGTTTCCCCACCCAATTGTCGTGGGACAAGCTTGAAGAACGAGCTGCTGCCTTGTTGTGGTGGGGGCCGGGCTGGAATTCTCAGGGCCACTTTCCCGGCCATTTCCTCAACAATGCAACTTTCATGTTTTTAAAACTTCCCCCCACTCTTCCCGTATCAGCCTGAGGTGATCTGCCAAAATGGTTCGCTACGCACCTGACCCAGAGCACCCGGGACATCCTGCAAGTCCAGAGGGTCGCAGCTCGGGTCCATTTTGAGCACACCCGTGAAACTGCCCCGGTCATCAAGGGCATGCATATCCGGAAAGCCACCAAAGATGTGAACGTCGTCCCTCTGCAGAAGCAGTGTGTGCCCTTCCGACGTCACAATGGTGGAGTTGGGAGGTGTGCCCAGGCCACCCTGTGGGGTTGGACCGAGGGTCGGTGTCCCCAAAAGAGTGCTGAATGTTTGCTGCACGTGCTTAAATGCAGAGTCACGCTGCACTGAAGGTTTCGATGTGGATTCTCTGGCCCCTGAACACACCCACGGGAGCAAAGCCCCCAAGATGCGCCACCGGACTTACAGAAGCTCACGGTCGGATCAATTCATACGGGAGCTCCCCCTGACACCCTGAGATGATCCTGACTGAAAAGGAACACATTGTTCCTGAACCGGAAGAGGAGGTTGCACAGAAGAAAAAGTCTCCCAGAAGAAATCGGAGAAGCTAACACATGGCTCGGGAGTACATTAAACGTAAAATAAAAGTCACTATCACTTAGGTTCTTTGCGTAGTGGTTACAAGTTGGACCACCAACTACAAGGCCAGGAGTTCAAAACCATCTGCTGCTCCGTGGGAGAAAGATGAGGCGTTCTCCTCCCATAAGCAGCTCCGGTCGGAGAAACCTGCAGGGGCAGTTCTACCCTGTCCTAGAATCTAACTGATGGCAATGAGTGTTCTGAGTAAGGTTCACCAAACTTAGAAAAGAAATCAATTAAGAATCAGAAAACCAGCAGCCCATTAGATTGAACCAGGCGATCTCCGACCCCTCTCAAGTTCCTGTGAATGAAGCTGTTTATTCAAGCCCACTTCCGCAGCAAAAACCAAACCCACGGCAGCCAAGTGGATTCTGACTCACAGCCACGCGACAGACAGGACTGGGCAGAGCTGCTTCAGTGTTTCCCAGTTGCACATCTTGATGAGCAGTTAGCCACGCCTTTCTCCTGAGGGGTACCTGCTCTCCCTTAAGCATAGATACAATTTTTTTAAAACAATGATTTTACCATGACTTACGTGGGAAGTAGAGATACTATTGAAACCAGCCCGTATCATCTAATGTAATTTAATTCCGCTCAAGTAGAAACAGGAACACTCTCAATTGAGTACAAATTTTAGTTCACCAAAAAGGCAACATGATTCTTCCAAAATAAAAATCAGACATGCCTGGAAAGCTTACACGCCACCTTGGCAGATCATCCCGGGTGGGACCTCCATCCAACGTGGGGCGGTGGTGGGCGGCATGGGGACCCATGCTGTACACTACCCTCCCTACTTTCCGTCCACTCCAGCTCTGCAGGGACTGTCGCAACAGCAGGGGGGCCTTTGAGGCCGGTGTGGGGCCACAGCCTGTCGCTATCACCCATGGTGCGGCCACGGCGTCTGGCGGGGTGGCTTCACGGGGAAGTGGGTGTAGGTCACAGACGCGCCGATGACCGGCTGGTCCACCAGCTCCACGGCGCACAGCTCCCGCCCGGCCCCGCTGCAGGGCGCCCGCTCCAGTTCCAGCACGGTGATCGTGTTCGGCCCCGAGACGGTCAGGATGTGCTTTGGCACAAACAAGGTCTTCTGCGGGCCCCGCGCCGGCCAGTAGCGGCCCAGGTTAAAGCCATTAATCCACACTTGACCCTGGGGAGAGAGGGGGGAGAAATCATCAGCTGGTGTGGGGGACCAGGCACGTGGGAGCCGCCCGGCGGGGTCACTCAGCCAGGTGGCCGACATGTAGGCCCATAGCGCGGCTATCCATCACATACACGCTTGGGAGCCAGGGCGTGATGGGGGAATAACACAGCGTTCCCCAAAAGAACCTCCCCTGCCTCAGAACCCCATGTGTTTGGTCCCTCTGACTGGTTTTGGCGGCCACAGGCATTGGTATTGGACATGGCATGGCAGTTGTGCCCAGGTTCTGAATGTCCTGGTGCCCTGACAGCTCCGTTGTAGTTAACACCACCCCCACCACCCCTACCCGCCCCAGCCACTATCAGAAGGAGGTGGGAACTCCACACCTGCTTCCAGAGCCATGGTGAGCCTACCAGCTGCAGGGGCTCCCTGTTCCCATGAGCAGGACAACGGGCTTCCCACCCCAAAATGGAAGGTGGGAGAGACTCTCCTGCAGAGAAGGGACAGCACTTGGATGCCTGTCTGCTTGGCCTCCCCAAATGTGCTCGGGTTAGCTCAGAGGCTTGGACTCGCCAATGGGGCACAGATCAATATTCTATTACACAGCGAAGGAGAGGAAGATGGGAGTGTACACACACACACACACACACACACACACACACACACACCTGGGAGAGGGTGAGCAGAGGACAGAAGGGAAGACAGAAATCGTGAGAAAGGAAGGAGGGAAGGAAAGAGGAAAAATGACTACCTACAGTGCTCTGAATAGACTGGGGATGGCTCAGAAGACATCCAGCTGAGGGCTCTCATCTTCTGAGCCCTAAGCCCTACCGAGCCCTGGTCCCTGTCATAATGCGGTTGAGCTGCTGGTCCTGGCCTCTGTCCGAAAGGCAGCTGCAGTCGGCTACTCTGCAGCAATGTTGGGGACTTTACACTCTCCATGTGTCCCCTTTAGTCTAGCCCTGCTCTGGACGTCCAGCCTGGTTCCAAACTGACTGCTGTGGGCAGGCTCCTCAAGTTCCCCCGGGCTCCATTTGGCAGACTGGTGCCTGGGAACAGTGGCACCAGGAGGAAGCAGTACCCGTCAAGTGGCCCTGGGTGAGGGAGTCGGGAGCCCCTTACACTACTCCAAGTGAGGAGGTCCCCGTGATCAGAAACCGCCAGACTGTGGGAGTCAGTCATTTAGAAAAAGGATGACAGTTTTACACGTCTCAAGATTATTTTACTCTTGTTTTGACCATGGGATATGCCACCGCGGCTTATCCTAAAAGGGATATGCGAGATGGCCTCACCGGGTTCTTATCAGTTTGCAATCTCTGGTGCCTTGCTTTTGCAGCCATAGCGACCAGCTGCACCCTACCTCTGTGGTCGAGGAGGGAGATGGGCTTCAAGGCTTCAAAGGCACCTCCGTGGAGGGCCGTGTGAGCAGCACCGGAGGAAGGGCGTGCACCGAGGGTATGCTCGGTCCCTCCTCACACCTAAAAGTCTCTGCCACCAGCTTCTGAGACACTGTCCTTGAGACACCATCCTTGGTGTTCATCCTGCAGAAGATCGACTTGGCACATTGGGGACCGTTTCCCTGTCTCCCTTTCTCCAGAGGGTTTGATATTCGAGTTGGTCCCAAGAAGACCTCGCCTGAGACTGGAAAGGTTGAAGGGAGGCAGCAGCTGTTGCCCTTGGTCCCTGAGGTCAGACGCCAAGACTGAGAGCACTGCTAGGTTTCTGCTCCTCCCTGGTCACTTCCACTCACAATCAGTTCCTTCTCCTAAGTGCCGGCTCCGCTGACCAGCCAGACAGCATTCCCCGAAGCCCTCTCTGTGAGCTCTCCAAAGTGCATGTAACAGTAGCAGCTCACCTTGCTTTCAAAGGCCCATTGTCCACTTGGGCCAGAGTTCAGGAGGCTGCTCCTTGACCTCTGCCTCCCCCTTCCCTGGTTCTCATCCCCAGCTCCTTCCAAGTTCCTGAGGCTCAATTCCTAACCAGAAGGAGTCCTCATGGCTCTGCTTCCCAGACTGAACTGGGACTATAGATACCTCTCCGGGGCACAGAGCTTTGCCTGGGTCTGTCTTCTTCTTTTTTTTTTTTTTGGGTCTGTCTTCTTATCCAGCTAATTTTCCTCTTTACCTAGATTTTGGTCTTTGTGGCCCAGTCCCCCTTCAGTGAGCAGCTAAGTGGGGAGGGACACGCCTGCCTTTCCCAGGAACTAACAACCCTTACAAGACCCCCGTGGCGTGGATTCTCCTGTGTGACCACCGGCTGACTCAGAGCCTGGCCCATAGGGGGCTCCGCAAAGACTGTCTATTGAATGATAACCGCTGCCTTCAAGTATGTTTCCATACTAACCTAAAACTTTCATGAACCCCCCCCACCCCCGACAAAAAAAACACCACACAAACCCAGAAAGAAATTTCAAATTAAAAAACAGACAGATGTTTGGCCGCTTAGAGCAATCAGAAAAACAGCAACTTTGGGTCTATGTTCACACATAACAAAACAGGCCGGAACTGGGTCCACACTGTCCCTTCCGTTCAGGCACATGGCCCACTGCTCCCACAGCATGCTCCCCAAGCTGACCCCTCACCACCTCCCTCTGGCGGGCTGTCTGTCTGGCCCCTGGAGAAGGCATGAGGAGCTGGTAGAATCAGATGGAATACCCTAGCACAGTGGTTCTCAACCTTCCTCATGCCACGACCCTTTCATACCGTTCCTCATGTTGTGGTGACCCCCAACCATCACATTATTTTCGTTGCTCCTTCATCACTGTCATTTTGCTACTGTTATGAATTGGGCAACCCCTGTGAAAGCATCATTTGAACCCCAACGGGGTTGTGACCCACAGGTTGAGAACCACTGTCGTAGCACATAAGTTCCTTAATCTTTGCCCATAGTTGTAGTGATTTAAAATTCACATGACATATAGTCACTTTAAAAAAGGTTTATATACATCATCACAATCAGTTCTAGAGCACACTCCAGCCTCCCAAATTCATTATTTGCTCCCCAATTCCCCTCCAAATCCCACCCCTTCCCCACTGCATCATTCCAGCTCCCCCCAAGGGGCAGTATCCCATACCTTGGGAAATAAGCAGATAACAGAGAACGAATAAAGTCGAAAAGTGACTCTCCTCCAAAAGAGTGAGTGAGAAAGAGAGAAGGTAAAAGCTAACCAATATAGAGCACCAGATAACTACGATATGCTCCCACAACTAACCCGCCTGTCACACATTTTCTGGCCAGCCCCGCAATCCCCTCCCCTGCTTCCCCTATGGTAAGTGCCTATAGTGCACTTTCCATACAGAGTCCGTAGGAAGTGCACTGTGTTACTCTTTATATGGGGTAGGTGTGTTATGAATGTGCGTTTATTTACAGTGATTGTTGTTGGTTTCTGTCAAATGGCTCCCCGGGTCATGGAAACCCATGCCCAACAGAAAGCAGTGCTGCCCAGCCCTGGGCTCTCCTCAACGCGGGCTGCAGATGGCACTGCTGGGGCCCGGGATCTCACCGGCAGCGGGGACTTCCAGAAGCAGGCTCTGAGGTCTTTCTTCCTAGTGAGTGTTCCTCTAGACAGAAGCTCCACTGAAACATGCTCAGCAACTTGACTTGCAAACTGGTTTCCCAGACTGCTGATCCAAGGTGATATCATTTTTCTTCCAATCACCTCTTTCTGGCCACTCACCGCTGGATCTCTTCTCGTGGTTCCTTCCTTTCTCTGAAAAAGTACTGCTTGTGCCCATTGTGAGATTCTGGCTCCCACGTGGATACGGCGTCATCACCCAAATAACGCTCGGGCATGTGGGCATCAGGCCGGCCACCTGTCCTGTCACCCTTCCCAAACCTTTTCCCCAAACCAGCGTTCTATTAGCTTTGGCCTCGATTCATCCTGCAGCTCCTCCTGCATCCGTACTGCAGGACAACATTTCCCTCCGCCTCCTCTGCTCTTACTTTC